GATAAAATATACGGATAAATAGGGTAGATAGCTGAATTGTGAATTAGGACATTCTACTTATAAAAGGATGAAGAGGCGGATAAATAAAACAGGATAAATGAAATAGGCCGATGGATTGTGAACAAGGACATACCACGTGAAACAGATAAAGAAGTAAATATAGATAGATAAATAAAGTAGACAGACGCATTGTGAATAAGAACATGCTACGTGCAAACCTACGAAGAGCTAAATATAAACGGTTAAATAGAATAAAAAGAGAGACATGCTACAGATAAAACAGATGAAACGATAAATATAGTAGACAGCCGGAGAGTAAAAGGGAACATGCTACGAATAAACAGATAAATCAAATAAATAGACGGGCTATGAATAGACAAATAAAACAGCGGAAAATAGAGGATAGAAGAAAATGAAATAGTAAAAGTAACCTTATTTTCTCCGGTTAATTGTTCAGTTAATCAGGTCATACTACACCCGAAGATGCGAACCTTTTTTGTTAAGATGGCGATTGCTCTCGTTTATCGTTTTCGTTATCGCCATCGATAAGATTAATGTCATCACTATAACTATTACAGAAACAAAATCCATGAATTACGGATACATTCCTTTTCACCAAAAATAAAGATCTATAACAACGAACAATGAGCATAAAAAACGCCAAATGATTATATATGTATGTAAGTGTATGTGTATGTGTGTGTGTGGGTATATATATATGTGTGTGTGTGTGTGTGTGTGTGCGTGTGTGTGTGTCTGTGTGTGTCTGTGTATGCGTGTGTGCGTGTGAATAAAGGAATGGTTCCAAGGATATTTTACCATCATTATATTAATACACAAGCTAAAGTGCCAAATCTTCTACCGGAAATAACCTCTAATTCTACTCTCTTGTCTTATCCAGAAATAATTGCTTGTACACAACATAAACTTATCAACTTATAACCAAAATCCCTTTTTTATTTAATTTCTATAGACGGTTAAACGCACCCTTAAACTTACCTGAATCACATACAAACCAATCGTCGCCGTCGCTTCTTGGAACACCACAGCTTCATGGCCTTCGTACTCCTTCAAAACCACTTCCTTATAACTCCCTCGCTCGATCCCATAACCCCTCACCGCAGCAGACACTCTTCGATCGTCTTCTGTTTTACGCTCTTCTCTGAGGATCGGAACCTCCGTTAGGGTGTCCCGCGTAGGATCATGTAGCCGTCTGGGAGTATTCGATCGCCTTTCGTCTTCCGACAACTTCGAATCACCGTCTGTGCGAATAGTGCGGTTCGAAGCAGCGTCGGCGAACAACGAATCGCCTCGAAACTCCGACTCACTCGCACTGTAGAAGGGGGCGTGTGAGCGGAGCGAGAGAGTCCAGACTAAGGGCGTTTCGCAGGGCGTCACGACAATGGCGAGAGAGCCTTCGGCATCCAGAGGGAACATTAATCTGTCGTAGACATTTATGATTGTAATAGTTGAGGATTTTAGGTAATTGTTAGTAATGATAATTTCTAAAAGAGTGATTAAGTTATTACCTACTGTTATAGTTCATCACTGCTAAATGTTATTTTTGTTTCAAATGTTATCGTAATTACTCCTTCCAATTACATGCAAATCTAAGAGGGTGCAATCAGGCATAGTTTCCCTAAGTGTCACCATACCCCCCCCCAAAAAAAAAAAAAAAAAAATACTGTGAACAATTAACAAATTGTATAACATCCCATTCTTTGATAATGGCATCTTCTCCCTTGAAGAAAAAATGCAATCTTTGGCAGTTGTGTAGAATATCCATATATATTTATTTTGCATGAATTCTATTTTCTATATTTATTTCCCTACTGTTCGAAAAAATGTGTGCCTCGTAAATTTATTTCTTGTGAGTGATTTTCGGCAGGCTGATGAGTTTTTTTTTTCGTTTTTTATTTATTTATTTATTTATTTATTCAATATAGTAAGTCTAGTGGTCAGGATGTGCAACTGCTTCTCTTTCTCAGAAAGGGAGAAAAATAATGTTTGAAAAACGATAGTAATAGAGAGCCATTACCTAAAAGCAGTATGGGTCTTCAAGTATAAGAAAACAGACCCTTTCCAGAACTTTTTTTTTTTTTTTTTTTTTTTGTAGAGGCATATTAAACCCTCCGCCCTATTTCCCTGTCTACCCTACTACCCCTTCTATCCTATCACCACTCACTCTATTACTCCCCTTCTCCACCCTATTACACCCCCCCACTCCACCCTTATTCCTCCTATCCCCTTTACTCCACCCTTTTCCATCATATTTTTCCCCCATTATCTCCTATCAGCCTCCCCCCCCCCCGACTCACCTCTTCTTCTCGCCCTCCAGAAGGTAGATTGAGATCTCTCGGCCGTCGGGGAGTTCCTTGAGGTCGTACAGGAAGTCCTCCTCTTCCACCAGCGTCCTCGAGGATCTGGAGGACGAGGCACGGAGGAGAGACGAGGATTGGTTGAAGGATGACGAGGGATACACGTCGTTGGAGGATGAGGATTTGAGGATGTCTCTAGAGCCGCGGCGAGGGGCGTCGGGTGGGGAGGAGGATGGGGAGGGCAAGAGAACGAGGAGGAGGAGGAGGAGGAGGAGAAAGGGGAGAAGGAAGAGGGAGAGGATGATCATATGAGCTTTTTTCTTCGCCATGTCAGGTGCGGGTTGAATCTGTGGAGGAGGAAAGGAGTTGAGGTTTATCGCTTTATCCCTGTGGTTGGAAATAGAGACGTATATACATAAATGCGTTTAACTAACCGTGTAAAAGCACACGCGAATTCAGGCAGGCTTGCGCTCGCGCGCGTACACACACACACACATTCATGGGTAAACGCTTACTTAGATAGATATTTAAATGGGAAGAGAAAGGAGAAGAATAATAAATGAGGAATGAGAAAGAACAATAACCAACAATAACCTCGAATCTCTTCCCCGCTTGAAGTCCCGACAAGAACCAAACAAACTGCAATTTTTGAGGACTTTAATGCGTATATCAAAAAAGAAATACTGCATTTGAGTATATTTTTTCTTACTATATTTACATTACGACCACACTCTTCGTCTCTTTTTAAATTATCGTTATACTTTTTTATGGATTAATTGATACATATATATATATATTTTTTAACATATTGGAGGTTGTAAAAGAGAACCGACTTGGAAGATTTAGTCAATGAATATGTTGCAAATACGAGACTGTAATTATTTTGACTCAAGTGGACAAACGCAGATCCAATCAATAATACACACGTGAATGTAGACAAAAGTATAGATTAAAGATAAATGTAATGTATATAAATATGTTAGTATAAGAAGAAAATATAGATGACGAAGGGACGAACAAGAAAACACAACGAATATGCCGAAGACTTTTTCGCCGAGGAAACAATATACCGGAAGAACCTTCTGCATATTCGTGTATTTTCTTGTTCTTCCCTCCGTTAATTTATTCGTGATAACATATTTAGACTTAAGCACAAGATATAAAACGCGAACAATAGTTTCCCAGAGATTATACATTCGTTAATTTATTCGCGATAACATATATAAACTCAAGCACAAGATATGAAACGCGAACAATAGTTTCCCAGAGATTATCCATGACACTTGCGTCGACATGTGACCCGACGTTGGCACAAACTGTCACGTCTGGCATATCCATGATCATATCCTCTCGGCGACGATAAATTAAGATGGAGGAAGAGCTTGAGGTAAATGAAGCGACGAGAAGTTCTAGGAAACTGTCTTAATGGCATTGCGAATCTTTTGTTCTCTCTGTAAATAATGCATCAGTCAGTGTCAAAATATATATGCATATTTCTTTTCTGTGATTAATTTCTGTGTGGTTATATTGTATCTATGTGTGAGAGAGATAGAGGGAGAGAGATGGAGGGAGAGGAAGAGGGAGAGGGAAAGTTAGATGGATGTGGAGATGGATGTGGAGATGGAGAGAAAGATGGAGAGGAAGAGGGAGAGGGAGAGGGAGAAGGAGAAGGAGAAGGAGAAGGAGAGGGAGAAGGAGAGGGAGAGGGAGAGGGAGAGGGAGAGGGAGAGGAGAGGGAGAGGGAGAGGGAGAGGGAGAGGGAGAGGGAGAGGGAGAGGGAGATGGAGGTGGAGAGGGAGAGGGAGAGGGAGAGGGAGAGGGAGAGGGAGATGGAGATGGAGGTGGAAGTGAAGAGAGAGAGAGACAGACAAAGAGAGAGAGAGAGAGAGAGAGAGAGAGAGAGAGAGAGAGAGAGAGAGAGAGAGAGAGAGAGAGAGAGAGAGAGAGAGAGAGAGAGAGAGAACGAAAGAGAGACAGAAATAATTTTTCCTGTTTCTGTGGGACTGTGTGTGCGGGTACGTATATGTTTTACTTTAATTTTATTATATTAATTCGATAATCAACAGACACTTAAGTCCTCACTTTAACAAGTATGAAGCAGGTTGATTTAAGCTTTGGAAAATATTTCGTTCAACTAAGATATACACCTTGCTGCTTAGTTTTAACAGTAATTATATGTACGGGGAGCAGTGTGTAAAATCATGGAGACTAAATAAAAGTGTAAAAAATGAGGAAATAATTGATACAAGGTTATGCTTAATATAAAACGTCAAATGCATCACACACACACACACACACACACACACACACACACACACACACACACACACACACACACACACACACACACACACACACACACACACACACACACACACACACACACACACACATACACACGCAGGCACACGTGCATATATGCTTTCATGTATAATTATAATACGTAGATGTCTAGCTCTGTCTACCTACCTACCTACTTACTTACATATATACATACATACATATACATACATTCATATATGCACACATATGCATGACAGAATACAAACAAACTTACATACACACATACATTACATACATACATTATTATCATCATTATCATTACTGTTAATATTATTATTATCATTATCATTATTACCACTGACATTTGCATAATTGTTATGGTTAGCCTGAATATCACTATCATCTTTATTATCATCATTATAACAAAAATCTCGAAAACAATAAATAGTGTCATGTGTTTGATTTTACAATTAGGAAAGTATTATTCAAAGTTATGGTAATATGGGTTCATTTACTTGTGAGAATCTATGTGTATATATATATATATGTGTGTGTGTGTGTGTGTGTGTGTGTGTGTGTGTGCGTGTGTGTGTGTGTGTGTGTGTGTGTGTGTGTGTGTGTGTGTGTGTGTGTGTGTGTGTGTGTGTGTGTGCGCGCGCGTGTGCATGTGTGTGCGTGTACATGCATTTACATTTCTATACATCAGTGTATACACAAACTCGTGCCCCTATATAATACTGCGTACACATACAAATTCCTCTTACACACACGTGCACATGTGAATTCAATCTTTCCTGCAAATTAAATCTTGACATGAACACATCCATCAAACATGATTCACATTTCATCACAGAGGCAGCCAGATATCACCATTAAGGAGACAAGCTGAATATAGATGTAGATATTTATCACTGTCTTGCTTGGACGTACTGGTGGTTGCTTGTCCAGGTGATATAGGGCGTAGCTAATAAAATACATTTTGTCTTTGATTCATCTTATCTTCCTCAATGATTAATATGCATTTCTGCAATTCTTATATCTACTTCATTATTCTGTCTTTCTCTGTCTCTGTCTGTCTGTCTCTCTCTCTCTCTTATTCTCTCTCTCTCTCTCTCTCTCTCTCTCTCTCTCTCTCTCTCTCTCTCTCTCTCTCTCTCTCTCTCTCTCTCTCTCTCCCTCGTATTCTCTCTCTTTCCTTTTCTCATTCCCCTCTCTTTCTCTTTCTCTTAATCTCACCCTCTCTCTCTCTCCCTCCCTTCTTCCCCCCCTCTCTCCATCTCTCCCTCCCTCCCTCTCTATTTCCCTCTCTCCCTCCCCCCTCCCCCCGTCTCTCTCTTACTTTGTCTCCATCTCTCGCGCATGAGATCTTCATTAGAAAACTGTCATCTCAGCGAAGCATTTTGGCGAACAAATCGCAACCAAGCTATTTTGATTTAAGTTGATAGGACTGCTTGAAAGACTTGAGACAGATCTCTGAGGAACGATTGCATTGTATAGTGATAAAACGCAAATTTGAATTAAAAAGTTGCATCTGTACTTTTGATTATGTCACTAATATCTCTCTTTGCCTGTCGGTTTAATTGTCTGTCTGTGTTCGTTTGTTTGTTTGTCTGTCTGTCTCACTCCCCCCTCCCTTTTCCCTTTTACCCCCTCGTCACCTCTCTCCCCCCCCTCTCTCCTTCCCACCCTCTTTCCCTCCCCTCCTTCCTTCCTTCCTTCCTTCCTTCTAACCCTCCCTCCCACCCTCCCTCCTTCTCTTCCTATCACCCTCTCCCTTCCCTCCTCCTTCTCTCCTCCCTCCCTCCCTCTCTCTCCCTCCTTCCTCTCTTTTTCCCCTCCTCTATCTCCCTCATTATCTCCTTCTTCCTTCTCTTCCCCTCTCCTTCTTCCCCTTTCTCCTCAATCAATCGATCAATATCATTCTTTTATAGAAGAAAGAAGTACACAGCTTCCGTGGATTAAAATAATATCCACTTATGGGGAAAAAAGGCACAAGACGAATAAAATCAAGAAAAAAGTACGATGAATGAATAAATAAATAAACAGAAAATAAACTAAAAATAATAATGATAAATGATAAGAAGAAACTGAAAATAAACTGAAAATAACAATGATAGATAATAAGAAGAAACTGAAAATAATGATAATAATAATAAGAAACTGATAATAATAATAATAATACTTATGATAATAATAATAATAACAATAATAATAATAATAAGCTGAAAATAATAAGGATAATAATAACTTTTCCAGACTACTTTTCGGGGTATGTGAAGGTCTTCTGCTGAATCTAGGAGGCCTTGGAGGGGAAACAGTCATGCTGACACGTTTGAAAACACACTCATACAAATACGTACATACTCGCCAAGATACCAAACGCACTGACTGGGCTGGTCTGTTTCTCTGGGCGGACGCCTGCCTGCCTCTGTTTGTCTGTCTATCTGTCTGATTGTTGTCTGTCTCTCTGTCTCTTGTCTTTCTCTCTTTTTTCTCTTTCTCTCTCTTTCTATCCCTCTCTCTTTCTCCTTTCTTCCCTTCCTCCTTTCCTCCGTCACTCTCTCCCTCCTTCCCTCCTTACCTTTCTCTTCCACACGCACATATATACACACACATTCATCGAACTGCGTGTAAACATTTAACCACCGTAAACATACACTGGCATATGCGTACATACATACACAATCACCAAAACTAATGTTTATCCGAGTACAAAAAAAAGAAAAAACGGTATTCGTAAACACAATTACTCAAGTGCATTTGGGAAGAAGGATAAAAGAGGGAAGTAGAAAGGAAGAAGATGAAGAGAGACGAAAAAAGGTAAAAACTGACTCTCTCTCTCTCTGTCTCTCTGTTACTCTCTCTGTCTCCGTCTCTCTCTCTCTCTCTCTGTCCGTCT